CCCCCCCCCCCCCACCCCCCCCAAACCCCCCCGCGACACCCACAAACGGAGGTTAACAGCAGGCGCCTGAAGGCGCGCATAGCTGCTACTACTACTACTACTACTACTACTACTACTACTATAATACTACTCCTACTCCTACTCCTACTCCTACTCCTACTCCTACTCCTACTCCTACTCCTACTCCTACTCCTACTCCTACTCCTGCTACTACTACTGCTACTACTACTACTACGACGACGACGACTACTACTACTGCTACTTCTACTACCTTTCCTGTCGATTCCAACCCTGTGCTCTGACTGCGGGAACAGCGGCTGATGGTATCTGGCACCGCGGCGTGCAAATGCATTGCAGCCAAGATGTCAAAGCAGTGCTGCCAATGTCCTGCGCGGGTTTGGAGTGCCGAAGCCAAGGCATTGCATGCCTCCAGTTACATGCCGGCACTGAAACCACGACCAGCAAGTAGCTCACGTCGCCAAACCAGACCTCTGCCCTTACGTCATGGAGCCGAAGTTCCCAAAACCCCAAACCTTTCCGAGCCGAATTGCCCCAAACTTCTCAGATGTTGACGCCTCGAGTGCTCCAAAGTCTGAAAGATTCGGGGTCACAGAGAATACCCTTGCTCACAGTAAACTAAGTGCTGGATACCTACACCCTAAGCCCTAAAGCCCTAAACCTAAAGCCCTAAAGCCCTAAACCCTGAACCCTAAAGCCCTAAACCCTGGAGACCTAAATCGAAAAAAAACCCTGAAGCCCTAAGCCGTGGAGTGACTCCCGATCCTGCGTCGCCGCAGGCTCCAGTGGCGTTGTTGTAGCTCACCTTGCAGGGCTCCCAATCTCCAACTTTGGTTTCAGGGGTTAGGGGTTTAGGGTTGAGGGTTTAGGGTTGAGGGTTTAGGGTTTGGGGGTTTAGGGTTTAGGGGTTTAGGTGTTCAGGCTTTAAGCCCTGTGCGCACATTGCGGAGCGCAGCGTCTATCAGTAAATGCAGAAAGGAAGGACAGAACTGCTCAACAGGCAACCACATGACTTGCAAACGTCAGCCAAAGCTTCCAATAAAGTTGTCGCTACTGCTACTGCTGCTGCCATTTTGCCACTGATACTGCCAGTTCCACTGCCCCTGCCGCTGCCGCTGCCGCTGCCGCTGCCACTGCCACTGCTACAGCTACTGCTGCTGCTGCTACTGTTGCTGCCACTGCCACTGCCACTGCGACTGCGACTGCCACTGCCGCTGCCACTGCCACTGTCACTGCTAATGCTACTGCTACTGCTACCGCTGCTCCCGCTCCCACTCTCCCTCCCGCTCCCGCTCCTGCTCCTCCTGATGCTGCTGCTACTATAACGATGACCACCACCATCACCACCACCGCCACGACTTGGACACAGTTGTGCGGCTGATAGCAGTCGTCGAAAGCTCAGATGCGACGAGAAGGAGCAACCACCTGCACTGCTTGGGGGTTTTCTGAGGATCATACTATCGTTTGGTCGCGTTTTGTAGAAGTGCTGGGCCATTACAACACAGTGCAGGGCTTGTTTTGCAATGGTGGGAGATACTGCCGGCAGTTGAAGCGAAGTAGCTTGTGAAGGCATTGCTGAAGAGACCAGATCTTCTCTACTTGGAGACAGAGAATGAGGCGAGAAGTGCGTGCTGTGCTCTGTAACGACTTTGCGGGTGTTCCGGACCATGTTCGATGTTCTTTGCAAGCTGGTCTACTTGGAAATGAAGACGTCCAGAGACAGGATAAAGATCTGATGCCTCTTGACAGGCAAGTGAACAGAGACACACCTCGCACTCGCATCCATGTCTGCGCTCAACATTTGCAAGCCGTGGTGCAGGGACAGAGAAAGCAATCAGCTCTTCATGCTTACTCCCCAAACCAGCACCTATGCTGTTGCTCAGACGACGTCCAAAATCTCTAAACATATCCCCGAGCTTGACGGTTGCCAGATCCTGCCTGAACCCGAAAAGGCCAATGCTGAAAGCATCAGCATCTACAGTATCTACGGTAGCCTCGCCAATGCATGAGTTCCGAACGGTGAACCACAGGATCGGATCGCCGCTGTTCATGTCCGGCGCGGTGCCCGAGGTACAGACCGTGTCATATTGAATCTCGGCGGCATTCAGCGGCTACATATGCCTTCTACCACGTAACGTGATAACTACCTTTACGACGACGGCAAGCAAGACAACCACAAAATCAGCATCAGCACCTGTGCAACGCAGAAGAGGACGTGTTCGCTTCGTGCCTGGCTGCTTCTTCCGCAGAGCTAGCACCGGACTAGTACCGGAGACTTGCTTTTGGTGTCAGACCTGCGCGGCTCCCCCAGACATCTACAGGCTTTCCGACAGGCAGTCTGCAGGCTACACCGGCGCTTGGGATGGTTCCCTTCGGTCGATCACAGTTATGATGAGCAGCAACCAGCAACCAGCAGCCAGCAGCCAACAACAGCAACAGCAACCACGACGACGACGACGAGTTCCGCTGCCACTGCCACAACGTACTATACCAAGGGGGTACAGTGAGTAGAGTGATTTGGACGGGAGAATACTGCTAGCACCAATAGCTACATAAATCACGGGTGTCTTCTGGCTGACACTACAGCCCAGGCTCGATGCCTGTAATGACCGTCTTCAGCCAGCTTTTGGCAGAGTTCGGATCAAATAGACTGCACGCCCATCCGGGAAGAAGATGGCCGGATCTACCTCAGATTCATGTCCCAAGCCTGCAGCTTTCGTTGCGCAATTGGTTTCTGTAGTAGTCTCAGCACTTCTATGATCATGATGACGATGACGATGATACCTTGTTGCTGACGACTCCTGTTCTCACTCAAAAGCCACAGGCTTGTTGTTATTAATTCCTTGCCTCGGCTTATTCCCGGCACGACGGCGGGGAGTTTTCCCTTCCTAGAGCAACAACAAGCACAACGAGATACAACGAGAGCAAGCCGATTCCCTAAACAGTGCCACACACCTTGTTAGTAGACTGCTCAGAGCGCTGCAAGTACAGGGGTCACAGCTCTGAGGTATTCGCATGGAAATGCGGAGGAGCCTGATTGGTGCAGCGCATGAGCGTTAAGTCCCGAGCAAAATCATCGTCGTTGTGTCGCCGGGTTTGTTTCAAGAGTTGCACTGCTTGTTGCAAAGTGGAGCTTCTGATTTTACCAATGCTTAGAACAGTGCGACAAAGTTGCTTTGGTTGAAGGCTTGATTGAAGACCACTTCCTAGATTGGGCAGTTTGCGCATCACGTAGCTTGCAGACTTGCATGAAACCAGGCCCTGTACCACAAGTCCAAATCGAAATGGACTTTGCATGAAGGTTTTGCTTTTGGTGCGTGTCCGCTGCAGGATTTGGGGCAAAGACTCCACTACTTGGATATGATGTCGCAGTTGTGTGCCGCGGGCTGCAAGAGGAAGAATCTGGTTTGGCGAGTATGATCTATTTGCAATCCTAAGAGTCACATCCGGTCGATGTTGCACTCCTTGGTCCGCATCCTGTTTTTGTCGCGCTCCGTTTTGGTGGCACTGGGGTCTTGGGCTGCTGATGCTTTCGGGGTCCGAGGTGCCTCCGATGTCCTCGCCTACGACTACTGCGGCTACGGCTTCAGCGAGGGCGAGCCCTCGGAGGCTCCCAGTGCTGGAGAGATTCCTTGGCCTCCATTGAAGTCACAATGAATCAGCCGGGCCTTCATTCGGCCGTAGTGTGGTGCATTGCAGTTTTCCCCCTCTTCCATGGAGCAGGAGAACTGCATTCAATGCATCGATGCAGCCTATGCTCGGCTCCCGGCATTCATGCAGGGGTCATGGGTGTCGGGGAAGCATGCCAGCTCCTTTGCTGAGCTATGCCGTGGGGCACCCTTCTTGCATGCTATGTTTTTTCAACACCCGTGCCGTGATACCACTTGCGGACTAGTTGCGAGCTGGCCCTTTGCTGCAAACGTCTTGCAGGCATACTTACTGCAGCACTTCGCGCCTAACCGCATCGTGCTCTTCGGGCGCTCGATCGGAACAGGCCGGGTCAGGGTGCAGCGTTTCGGTGCTGTTTGCTGACAATCCATCGTTACAAGGTTTTGCACAACGCGTGCCGCGTGCTTCCACACTGCAGTATGCTCGCAACGCTCAATCTCAACTTCTCAATGAAGCCGCTCGCTTCTCAGGACCCACGGTGGACTTGGCAGTGCGCCATCCCGAAATCCGAGGCCAACTTCCTTTGCAGTTGTTACAGTGGCCATTGCACTTTGGGCGCAGGGCGGGAAGTATTTCGGGCTCAGGGGTGCAGCTCACTTCATCTTGTTAATTTCTTTCTGTCTCTTCTGCGGACAGTCTATCAACGCAGCATACTGTTGCAGTTTCATGGAAGCAGTGGAACTTGTGAGACTTATGAGTGACATTGCTGTGATATTGCTTGGAGGCTGTCCGGCTTAGACGGTGGTACAGGTTCCATCTTCATGTCACTCTGGGCGCGCTTCTCGCACCGGGATAGCCCTACAAGTCTAGTCCTGGGCTGTGCTTCATTGTCTAGCAAATCCGGTATCGTGAAGAAGAGCGGGCATGTATTCCTTGCGAATAAAGCCAACACACACACACACGCACAGAAAAATCCGCTTTCAAGACACAAGACATCATGATGCCAATTATGGCCGTGGATGCTTCTATATGAAGCCGTTCGTTTGGCGTTTCGATTTGTCGATGCCTGGCAGGGGTCATCCTTCAGAGTCCGATCGAGAGCTGTGGTCGGGCACCCTTCCAGAGACTGTGTGACCGGATGACGGAGCCCCAATTATGATCAAGGAGCGGTGTTCAAGGAACCCAGTTCTGAAGGGCTCCTGACTCTCTGCATGGTAGCGGCGAGCTTTCGAGTTGACTGCTTGGGGCTTTCACAAAAAGCATGACAGACTTTTCAGCTAATATCAGAGCTTTCACGCCAGGCTCAAGGCTTTGGACAGCTCCTTCGAACCAAAAAAAGGAATATTATCCTCTTATAGTGCATTTGCTGTTTAACAAGCTTTACTATACCTCCCAAACCCGGTTCTGTTTTTCAAAGTCCCTGTATTGCATTGGAAACCTCTAGGGGGTTCAGGGTTTAGGGGTTCAGTGCTTGAGCTTCGGCAATGGCTGCACGCTTTCGAGCCCTAGCTTCTCGCATGTCGAAAATGGAGTCCTGAATGTTTCATGTTGTCCTTTATGTTCCTTCATAATCCCACGACCCCGTCGTAATCCATTTTGAACAAGCCTGTTCTGCTTGTTTGGCCTGCATGTGCCGAAAGCTAGCACGCCGAAGTTGGGCACAGTTGGACAAGGTCGGGCCGTCTTCGGGAATCTGGCATCTTGGGTCGGCTACAGGCCGTGGGGGCTCCGGGAGCTAGTAGCAGCAGCAGAGGTAGTAGTAATGGTGTAGTAGTAGGAGGAGGAGTAGGAGGAGTAGGAGTAGCAGGGGTAGCAGGAGCAGGAGCAGGAGCAGGAGCAGGAGCAGGAGCAGCAGCAATCATCGTCGTCGATGTCTTTGTCGTAGTCGTAGTAGTTGATGTAGCTGGCGGCCCAATTACTCCGTAAATTTACAAAACCGAAAAGCGATTTCATCGGAATTGGTTCATTTGCTGTAAACATCCGTGCGCCTCCAACTCCAAGGCTATCCAAGGCTTAATGTGAGGATGTAATAGTTCTGGAATAGTTGACAGAGTGTAGAAAGCTAAAATTGAAACCATACAGTTGTTGAGTTCTGCTTCCAGCACAAGGACGTTCACCAGGCTTGTTAAACTCGTGAGACATTTCAAATATACGGGCCGGCAGTTTCTATTACATGAGTTGTTTGCTGAAGCACATAAACTGTTAAAGTCCAATGAGCTTGATTCGATTTGGCTTGTTGCGAACGATACACAAGGCTCTCCAGGCATTACGAATGGTTCGCTGGCTTCATTCAGTCTGTCTTCATTAAATTCATCCTTTCTTGTAGAACGGTGGGAAGTCTGCTGTGCTCTATATAGTCAGTTAGGTTTTTTTGCAGTTCATGAAAGCATGAAATAAGCCTACATGAAGTTATTCAGACAGTTGCTGTTTGTTGTCGTTTTGGCTGCTGCTGTGGTGGATGTTTGTCGACCCGCATGTGACACTGTATGTTGTTCTGGTTGGCATGGTCGCGGCCAATTTCGTCGTTGTGCCGATTGTCGTTGGCGTCGTCGCTGTCGCTGTCATCGCCGTCCTCGTCCTCGTCCTCGTCCTTGTCCTTGTCATCGTCGTCCTCGACAACTTTGTCAAGTTTGTCAGTGCTGCTTGGGTTCATATGCTTACTGTCTTCAGCTTAACCATGGGATTCACTGCCGCCCCAATGACAATGAGTCGGGATGCCGACTAGACTAGGATGCTCCTCAACAAAGCAGGTCGGAAGCAATAATCATAGCAGCAAGAGAACCAGGCTGCAATGACGACGATGATAGCAACTTAATGTCTACAGCAACAACAGAGCTGGTGAGTTTTTGCCTATGCGAGCTTTCGGTCTACGTGCTGCTGTCGTGATGGATTACATGATGCTGTGCAACCCACACCCTGACACTCTGCAGAGAGCAGATCTCCCTGTTTTCAACCGTGACACGAATCGCAAACTTACAAGGCCAATTTGAGTGGAATGCGCTCAAAAGTATTGAGCAGGATCAACAAACTGAATGAGTGTCAAAAAAAAGTTTAAGCGGGATCAGGAAACAAGCTTACGTTCCACTGCTTCCTGTCCTAGCTATTATTTCTATCATTCATTAATGTTACGAGTATCACTAACGATTGCCACAATTACAAATCTTGTTATTCGTGCTACTATTCTTCCTATTGGTCTTATCGTTATGAGTGCTACTTATAGTACTACTTGCAAAGTTTTTCGTCCTAATTATTACTTCTTTTTTAGCATATTCCGTGTATTATTACTACCGTATTCGTACAAGTATTGTTATTGGTTACTGGTATGAACAACAATATTCACAGAAACACTAACCATACCAGTAATAATAAAAGTACTAACAGAAGTAGAAAATTAGTAGCGATAGAAATAGCACTAGTAAAAATATTGATGATTGTAGTAGTAATAAGGAAAATAATAATCATCATAGTTATTTTCATATTTATGATGATGATCATGAGGCCTTTTTCAATTATTGTTATCCTTTATACTATTAGTACTATCAATATAGCTAGGAGTATTCATATGATTATACCAGGGGAGATCCCCAAATAGTGAACTACTATACCTCAAGCATTCCATTGTCATCCGGGTGTCCCGACTAGTGTCACATGTAAAGAGGCTTGAATTGCTTGGAAAAACACAGGTCCAACTAGCCATCTGTGTTTTTCCAGCATTTACGCAATGTTTCCAGACACAAAGGACGACCACACTGACCAGGACGACAGCGACCAGGGCCAGGAGACCTCCAAGAGACCAGTAAGAGACAACAAGGAGACCAGCACGAGACCACCAGGAGCGGCAGGAGACCACCAGGATATTGTTCCGAATGCTTTGCTCCAAGTACTGATGCATTCAGACCATGCCTCGAATACTTTCCGGGATTCAGACACAGCACGACGCTTTCCAACAGTACTGGCGGCTCGAGGACCAGCCGTTTCGGCGACTTATCCTTCCCCCTCAGCTTGCGAGATCGAGGGGAACACCCGGACTCGTGTCGTTGCCCCGAAGCACTGCTGCGATTCAAGCTTGTCGAGAGCTGTCTTCTTATTTACTGTGAATCCAGGCCCCGGGTGCGTGCTAATAGGGCGTCAGCGAACACTATGCGCCGCGCCACACTGGCAGACATGCGCCGCGAGCATTCCGCGTAAAGAACGACTCGGGGGGCGGGGAGCCGATATGCAGCATCTGCTGTACATAACAATTAGGGCTGGCGGAGCTTCTTTTTGATTCCCACATTGGTACCTAATTTCTCTTGGATCCTGTTTGAAGTCTTATTTGATGCCTCGGGGCTTAATTTGTTCTGGATCCTGATGAAATATCTTTTTTGATCAGTTCGAGTTGCTTCCTGCACTTGCAGTGTACGGTGCAGGATGGACCTGTTCCGGAATTACGAGAAGGTGGACAAGGCCGCAGGAATGTGAACTCTGTTCGAAGGTTCTGCACCCGGAAGTTTTGCTGCGATGAACTTGTCAGGTGGAATGCCCAGTCCTAGTTATGCATGGAACGGACGATGACATCGTCCCGATTGAGAGTGGCATGGCCATCCAGGAGGCACGGCTTCGGGTTACAGGTTGATTCAGGGTCCAGAGTTTTCGAACTGGGGTTTGGGGTGCTCACAGTTTGGGCTGAGGGTTTGAGATCTCAGGGGCTTGTGGGTAGACTTTGTTGCTTGATTTTGGGGTGCCCAGCCCTACCGAGAAGCACTCAGGCTGGTTGCAGGCACATAGGGTCCTCCAGCAAGACCTAGAAACGATGATGATGATGATGATGATGATGATAAGGATGATGATCATGACCATGACCATCATCACGGCTGTCATGACTGTCATCCTGAATTTTTCATCATCGCCTCTGTCATCGACAGCTTGAAGAAACAAGAACGTGCGTCAAGCCTCGAGCGTTACCTGGAAGTACATCCCACTTTGGGATTTCGAACCCTGCTCCTATCTGGACACGTCCTGTTCATCGGCCGCCACAGCTTCGAAGAACGTGTGATGTTGTGCCGTTCTCTGGAAATGTCTGGGATATCGTTATTCTTGTCAATCGACGGTGCTGCAATAGACTCGTGCCTCACGCGAGCATGGCGGGATTTGTGCCTCGAATAAGCTGTGAAGACCTCTGCTCATCGCAGCGTCGATCCGGGAATGAATTTCGGGGCCACATAATGAGTCGCTTCCGCTTCCCAGCCCGCATCTGGTTCGGAACGGTGCGAGATGAAACAGCATGAACTGAGGAGAACTGCGGTGCTTGACCTGACCAAACCCTGCTCTGGAGCAGATTGCATTCATCAAGGCACATTCAGGTTCGGCCACAAGCAACATCGTGTTGAATGGTGCGCACAGCGTAGGGCCTCAAACCAACAAAAGAGCTGTCTCAATCCTAAAGTCCTCAAGGCGTATGATATACGGCTTTTGTTACCGGATGGAAACTCAATGTGTCATCTAGATCTAGATGCTGCCCGGGCAGGCCTGCAGAAAAGCTGTCGAGCCGCTTTGGCTGGAGGGCTACGGTGGTGACCTTACCCACATGTGGCTTCCAGGTTAGGAAACGTGAGGGCCTGGGCCTGGAAGCGTGACCTGTGAGTGATGCTGTAGGTTCATTGGATGTTCAAGTCAAGTGCTCGTGTCCTGAACCAACCACAGACTGAACTTGGCCTGTCGATCTGCAAAGTTTCGAGAGTTGTGTGACATCGGGAGCGTAGTATAGCGCACGTTCATTAAGCAGCGTCCCGTTTGGGGAGCTTTTGTTTTCACAGCGCTTCGGTCGCCGTCTAGATTGCAAGGGAACTGTTCGGAGATTCGGGTGCATTGCTTCATGTTGAAGATGTCAAACAGTCACGCTGGTTCATCGGGTGTAATGATGAGAGTGTGTTGTCGCAGCAGCACCGATTTTGCCAGCAGTCATCATTAGGCGGTGCATGTACATGAAGTCGCGTCTCCTGCATTGTACTCATTCCAAAGTTGCACTTGCTGCGCTAAGCCTACGGCGTGCTCTAGTCTACGCACGTTGGCTTGTGGCTTTGAATAGTGGGGTCCATAGCGTTGTCGGCCGCAGGCCACAACGACCTTCCAAATGAGATCTGCCTGAGGCGAGGGCTTTTTCTCATCGACTTGGAACAGCAAAACTCTGATTATGCTTGTTGAACCCCAGACTCAAACCCAGGGCCCCCGAGCGGGGCTTCCTCACCCCAAACCTGTCACGGTCGTACAGACTTTGCTTTGTTTGCCGTTCAGAGACGGATGACCAGAAGAATCTGCTACCAGTAACATTTTCTGATAAACCGCGGCCGGGATCGACTCTTTGGAATAGCAAAGTGTAGAAGCCTCGGTCGATAGCAACGGTGTTCCCTTTTAATCCCAGTACGATTGGAGGAAATATACCTCCTTACCAGCAGTAAACAAGGTTCACCAGTTGTAGTTTTCTCACTGTTGTCTATGCCTCACCATATCTCACCATCTTGCAAGAATCGCAGAAGGCCTTCTACACTCCGTGCAAGTGCATGTAGTCTTTGTGTGCCAAGATTGTGCGACATTTCGGATGTTCTGTTAGGCTGCATCACGAGTCTGCATGCCAGGCGAGTGCGAGAATTCATGGACCAGATGGATGGCCTCTCGTGGGGCCGCACTCTCAAGCGGATCTCTTTCGGTTTATTCCTGTTCTTTATTCGTTACGAGTTTTTCGCTTCATTCCTCGGACCTGCGGCTGCCGGACTCCTTGTGGGAAGTTCAGTTCAGAAGAACCTGGCTGTCGAGATCCAGAAAGTTGCCTTGACTTGAGAGGGCTTTCGGGCTATGGTGGTTTGGGAATCCCAGGATGCCCACCAACCGCAAGTCGCACCCCTCATAGCTCCAGGCGAACGAAAGTGCAGGGTAAAGTCCATTGCCAGAGAGCTGAAGCCCGAAACCTGCGCTCGAAATTGGCCCAGAGCGCCGAACTCCAATCCTGGGTGCATGTTGAGTTCGGAGTGCTGTTGCACTCTGGCTTCCAGGATCTCCAGGTGTTTACCGGCTTTTTGATTAGGTATCGAGGCTTTCGGTTTTAGGCCGAGGTTCAGGATGTCTCAGGCGTGGGGCTTCGGGGCGCGAGCGCTCAAACGGGGGAGGGTGGAAACTAAGGAAACCCGAGTCAACGCCTTAATTCAAAGGGTGCGAGCATTTGAGGTGTGGGGGTTTGGTGTTCAAGGTTCAGTTAGGGCTTCGGGCCTCAACTCTACAGCGACTCTTCAGGGGTTTTGCGGCTGAGGGCTTAAGCGGGTGGGGGCATCAAGGATGGAACATCTTCGTGACGAACCTTGCCACGCACATCTCCGTGAACCTTTGAGAAGCATCCGGTGTGCAAGCCTACGCCCCCCTTGCGAAAGTGCAGCTAACGACGTAGCACCATACTATGATGAAGTCACGAAGTCACACTGATGAGACAGGAATTGCTTTGCTGCAACACTGTAGGACACACGTAAGCCCTAATCCCTGGACCGAATGGTCCCCTTGAAATTTGCGCTTTAATTTGTGCCTTGGGCCGTCTGCCTGACGTGACAAGCACCACACTCAAAATTTCAGGCAATGAGGCAATAATGCAATAATGCAATGCGGGTTAAGGTTTCGGGGGGGGGGGGTATGGTTCAAGAGTTAAGGAAATAGCTTCGTAGCTTTTTCAAGACAATGCCGGGGCTCTTGGTGCCATCAACTGTTTCGTGAGACGTGGCTAGCGCATGCTTGCACGCATAAAAAGTCACGCCAGCAAAGCCTCGCATTAATTCAGCCGCTTTCAGCTGTGTCAACTCCCTGGCAAGCTCGTAAGGACGCAGTTCTGGCTTGCAGATTGCTTATGCAACCGTAGCGCGTTTCAATGTCCACCGAGGATTCCACCAAAAATCTCGCACGGGCAGGTACTGCGGCGATTCTCCCACCGGAGCTTTTGAAGTTCGGTCGTTGCTTGCACCCAGGTGTCGGCAGACTCTTGGGATATACGGCGCAGGAGTATGTGTGGCTGGACAGCCCGCCATATGACCGGGAACAGATGTGGAGCATGTTTGAGATGTGGGATCTGCAGGCACCGAGCCTTGTGATTGATCTGGTTGGAGGCTACTGCCATCCTCGGCATCTCCTCTTGCCGGCCGACATCGAGACCATGGAGCAATTGCCCGGCGTCGAGAAGGTCGTGAAGGATGCCAAGCGAGTCATGCTGTTACAGGCTCAGGAGCTCGACAAGTCCGAAGCGGCGATTGACATGGCTGAGCTGTACCTGGGCCTTTCATGAAGAACGGAGGAGGGGGCCAGGAATGATAGGTCCGTCAACCGTGTGGGTTTGGAAGAGGAAACATGCCAAGTCACCACGTAGTACTGTCTGATGTCATGCCGCCGGAAGAAGGCTCCAAACCTTCACGATCGCGAAGACTGTCCATCCATCATGCCGCAGCAGGAATGGACGTCATAACCCGGCCCCCCCCGCGCGCGCTTCCCTGCGCTTAAGCAACGGGAGAATCACCACCAGCACCTACATAATCCGCATTGCCATGGACCTCATCCCAGGCCCCCGCACTCCACTGCATGCTTAATCGGCATTGCTATGGACCTTATCACACATCCCCCTTCCCCACCCCCACTAAAGCAAAAACAACAACGCCGGACTATACTCGTCTTTTGCAGTCACGCAGGACACGCTCTGAAACCAACACACAAGCTACCTTCAAGCCCAAAAAGCACCCGAATTCCAAGCCAGAAAACGGGGAACTGAACATGCACGAAATGCTGTACATGCTGATGCAAAAGGCGCTTGACCGTCAAAAATACAAGAGTTTTTGCAGTCACGCCGGAAACACTGTAAAACACCGATGCGAAAGCCATATCGCCAAAGAATCGTCCAAACTGCAGTGTGCCAAAACTCGAGTGTTGGCACATCGCAGGCCGGAAATCGACACACCCTTCGCGGCAACAAACATGCCCGCTGCCAACAACAACAACAACAACAACAACAACAGCAACAACAACAGCATCAGCATCAATCAACATCACCATCAACAGCAGCAGAAGCAACAGCATCAGTATCAGCATCGACATCAGCATCAACATCAGCATCAACAGTAACATCAACATCAACAGCAGCAGAAGCAACATCAGCAGCGACAGAAACAGCAATGCGAAAGCAGCAACATCAACAACAGCAACACCAGCAACACCAGCAACACCAGCAACAACAGCAACAACAGCAACACCAGCAACACCAGCAACACCAGCAACAGCACCAACAACAGCAACGACAACGGCAATCGCAACCGCGACAGAAAGACCACCACCAATACCAGCAGCAACAACAACCGCAACTCCAACCACAACCATATATGACCGAAGCAAAAGCAATCATTGCAACAGCGACAGCAAGAGCCCAGCTGCAGCTGGTGTTTGTAGCAAGTAAATAGGCACCTCTAGGTTTATTCAAGTGAACGCTCTTCCTTACAAACCACCTCGCGTCTCTAGTGTAGTGAACTGACACAGACATCGTGCACCCAGCCACCTAGCGCTTGGGGCAGGCAGAAGTCATGCCACGACAGCCTGAATTTTAATCAAGGGTTCGGAATAACTAGTACTATAATTTCTGAGGGTTCCGATCATGTTTGCTTTATAAGATACCTCAGAACCTGTTCTCATGTTTAAGGCCCTTGTATTCGACAGTTTCCTGATGAATCTCCCAAGCAGTGAAGGCAGAGAACCATCGGAACGAGCTTGTTCGATCGGCTTGTCGAAGATATGGTCGCCCTGACGGAGGCATGCGCAAAAACGAACAGCTGGCTCCTGTTTGATCAGAGCAACGTTGGGCAGTTGTATTACATTCTGGAGGCCGCGCTTGCGAGGACCAAGTTCAGGCCCGTAATTCTCATGTTTGTGGACTCGGCGCTCAAAGAAGGTTGCAAGTTCCGGGACGGCGAGCACGATTACCAGGAAGAAGCCTGGAGTATGCTCGAAGAGAATGTGGATGTTGTGCACCAAGAAGAGACCTTGGAGAAGCTGACAATCGTTGATTTGCCCCCAGCCCTCTTCCCAGAGTCTACGAACCTTTGGCCGGTTCCGGCGGACATGGCCGCCACAGAGGCGGCGAGACGGGACACTCTCTGGAGATCCCACTATGGGAGGTGGTTCTTCCGCGCAGCCACTCATTACATCTTCTGCAAAGGATCCGGGAAGTTCGGGGATTCGGCCGTTTGCTTTGACCTGGACTGGCTTGGGCCACAGGGGAGCGTGTACAGCTCTGGAGCCATAGGGAGCGGATGCACGAGCGATATGATCTTTTCCTCTTTGGATGCAGGGAGGCCAGCCATTCTCTTTAAGCACACGGGTTTGGCCAGCGACCTCTGGAGCCACGTGCTCGACATCATAACCGAGCTGGCAAGCAAGAGGCCTCAAAATGCCGGCCGGACGAGGGAGCACAATTTCACTGCTGGAGATGTGATTCAGTGTTTGCACGAAAGACTGGGGAGTGAGACCCTTCAAAATCTCAAGCAGAACCGCTGGGTAAATACCCAGCTTTTTGCTTTGATCACAACCCTTCTGCGGAAAGATTGGCATCGACTGTCCCAATCCTTTGTTGTCGTGGACGCTTTCCAAGACAAGCCCGACAAGGTCTTGGACAAAATCAGCGCTTGTTTTGCTAGCACATGTGGTGGTGCTACAAGGCTTGGTGAAGATGATCTGCGTGCAAGGAGCCTGGCAGAGGCTAGCGACTTCCTGCGGCAACTGCGTTTCAATGCAAAGCGCTTTGCATCTCGTTCGAATCTGATGGCAGTTGGTGGTGTGATTCTCTCCTTGCTGGCCACAATGATTGCTGCTTGGAGTGCCTGGCTAGACACGCAAATGGGGCCTGATCATGAATCGTTCCTGCAGTGGGTGGCTGATATGGCGTTGATCCTGATGCCTGCTCTCAGTGGCCTTGCCTTTACATTGCTTTCGCGACTTCGGTACATGTCAAAATGGGGATCCGTATATCTGGCAGCCGAAGAGGTTGAGTCAGAGATCATGAGATTCCGAGTTCAGGTCGGAGACTATGGCTCGATGCAGCTACCAGAAGAGCAGGAGCACACCGTCTTGCTTGCGTCCAAGGTGTCTTCTATTTACGGCTGCTTGCTTAACGGTTTAGACAGTGTGGAAGTTTTTGCGTTGAGGCCCATCGCCCAAACCCAACACCCTACACGGCGGACGTTGTTCTATAGATTTGGTGTCCAGGTAGCATCGCGCCAGAATTTCATCACGACACGCTTCACGTACCTTCCACGGGCGGGGATGGCATTGACACCATGTTTGGAAGCTGCACGCAGCTCGGCTTGAACTTACTCTCGGGCAGTTGATACTGCACCGTAAATCGTTTCTTCGGATTGGGGCGTGGTACCGTAGTTGTGGATGAAAAGCAGGCACCTCTTGTTCTGGTCACCCGCTTTCGATTCACTTTGGCAAGGAGGTTGTACCCATAGGCCATTCGAGACCTAAGTCGTCTTCTCTTTAGTGTCGCGATCTGGCGCAGGCTCGTGCCGAAGAGGCTTGAATACAGTTGCTTGTGAAAGTGTAGCAGTGTAGTGCGCATGTACCAACTTGTAGGATACCACACTGGCATCGCTGTCCCTCTTGCAACCAGCACTCGACATCAGCAGATCTAATCTGAGATATCTTCATCTGAAGAAGTCTGACTAGAGTAGGCCTTGGACTTCGTCCTCGAAGTCCATGGATTCACAAGGGATGCGGAGCCAATCCGGACGAGTCTATGCCTTCACATTATAATTTGAACGAGCCACCCAAGCCGTTCTCACTGCTTGTTCGCCTCAGTGCACTTGACATCTCTGAGGCTCGAAGAAGAGTCCCCCGAAGCAGTAGCGGCACGCAGCCCGCTTCTCGAAGAAGACGAAGAACACCTCAGCTCTGCAGCAGTATTTCCTTCAAGCGGGAAGACCACGATATCCGTCGAGGAGTATTTCGAAGAAAGGGTCAAGACCAAGCTGCAGTACTGGCAGGCGCTGGCACCCCGATTGTCTCATCGAGTGGCTGCGTACGAAGTGCTCATTGTCTTATCCTCGGTTTTGGGCACAGTCCTGGGCGCATTGGACCAGAAACTGTGGATTCCCTTTATGGTCGCCCTGGGTGCTGCCATGAACACATTGATGCATCACGAAGGGCTGCAAGCCCGACTCTCTGCGCTCAATGCTTCCATCCAGGTTTCTAGCCCATGCTGAGAAGCTCGTTCATGTTTCGTGAGTCGTCAAGCAGCAAGCTCCCGCGAAACGGGAAAGAGATCGAAAGCCTAAAGTCCGTCCCTATTGGCAGGACTTGCTGCACATCCGCCACCGATGGTCAGCCCTGGGTGTCGTTGAGCGACGGACCAACTTCCACAAGGAATGGATGGTGAACATCGCCGAGGCAGAGTCATGAAAGCACAACCGTCATGTTCTTTCATTGCGATTCTTCATTCTGTGCATCGTTGCTCGCGTTGTCCTTATCACTTAGCAATGATCACTTAGCAAATGTATCAGCCATCAGTAACATCACCAACACCAGCACCACAGCTACTAGGACTGACTACTCCTACTACGACGACGACGACGACGACGACTACTACTACTACTACTACTACTACTGCTACTACTACTGCTGCTACTACTGCTACAGCTACTACCACCACCACCACCACCACGACGACTACTACTGCTACTACTACTACTACTACTACTACTACTACTCCTGCTGCTGCTGCTGCTACTACTGCCTGCTACTGCTACTGCTACTGCTACTGCTATACTGCTATACTGCTA